ATCCTCCAGCTCCTGCAGATTCTTCAGTTTTCCAGCATCTTTTGCATATTTGAACCCTTTCCAGCAGTGACTGTATGATTTTGAGATCCATCTTTTCACACTGAGGACAATTGAGGGACTCAATGTTCAAACATTCACTGATGCGCCAGAAGGAAACATGATGCATTAAGAGCCGGGGGGTGAAAACGTTTTGAATTTGAAGATCAAGGTAAATTGTACTTAATTTGTCTTCCGGGAAACATGCAAGTATCTTCTGTTGCTTCCGAAGGGCAGTACTAAATGGAAAAAAATTATATTTCAGCAAAGTAAGAAAAATTGGGTCATCTTCATCCTGTTCTTAATGCATCGTGTTTCCTTCTGGCGCATCAGTGAATGTTTGAACCTTTTTTAATAGTTGTGTTTGAGTCCCTCAGTTGTCCTCAGTGTGAAAAGATGGATCTCAAAATCATACAGTCACTGCTGGAAAGGGTTCAAATATGCAAAAGATGCTGGAAAACTGAAGAAAAACATCTTTTATGTAAAATATTCTTACTAGGACAGTACTAAATAAAAAAATAACAGGCATTTTGTATGATCTCTCTTATTTTGTTAAAATTATTCCCATTTTCACAGATTCTGTAAGGGGTTCCCAAACTTTCGCATGTCACTCACTGTATATATATTATGGAAGCCAATGGCTACCATCAACTGTTTGGTTACCAACACTCTTCAAAATATCTTCTTTCATACAGGTTTGGAACAACTTGAGTGTGAGTAAATGATGACAGTCCATTTTTAGGTGGACTATCCTTTTAACCGCTATTAGTAACAACAGCACTGCTTAACTCCTATCTGTACAGTTGCTTTTGTCAGTAAGCTCAGTCATACCCTCTTCCACAGGCTCTGCTCTGTTGCGCCCCTCAGGGTTTCCTCCACGAGAGCTGGTGTTCCACTCCTTAATCACTTCCAGGTCATCGCTGTCGGACTTGTCTGAGCTCTGCTCTTTCCCTTTGCCTCGTTTCTTCTTTCTGTAAGGGGGTTTAGAGAACCAGACCAGTCATAATACAGGTAGTAAACAGGACAGTTACCAAAGAAGAGTAAGGACTCATCTCAAACCTTTTGGGCTTCTCATCTTCAGAGGTCAAACTCATGGAGGACTCCTCTGTCTCTGAGGCGATGAACTCCTCCATACTGTCCTCGTCGAAGTATCCCTGTTAGCATGGAGGGGGAAAGAGCAGTAAAGCAGCTGCAATTGTAATCAGTTAAAGAGCTAATTCAACCAAAAATTAAAATTCCGTCATTGTTTACTCAAACTCATGTCATTCCAAACCTATATGGCTTTGGTTAATCTTCACAACACAAATCAAGATATTTTTAATGAAACCTCCATTGAAAGTCCAGGTAACCAAAACGTAGAACATCCAAAAAGGTTGTAAAAGCTTTGTAAAATAAATGCATATGATTTGAGCGGTTTAATGCATGTATTGCGAAGAGCTTAATATGATAAACCGATTTAATATAGGCTTTTATACACAAAAAAATACAGCACATCACATGTTTGTGTATGTACCAAATGTGAAGTGCTCTATGTATGTTTGTCAATCATTATGAATAGATTAAATGTAGGCTTTTATTTAAATCATATAAAGCGATTGTGTCTCTTTTCATTTGGATTAGGATGGATTTATGACCATTTTGGATCTTTAAACTTTTGGTTACTGGACTTTGTATGGAGGGACAGAAATCTCCCGAGATTTCATTTTAAATATCTTCATTTGTATTTCAAAGAAAGTCTTCTGGACTATCTTTGGACGGTGAGTAGATGACAGAATTTTCATGTTGGGTGAACTATCCCTTTAAATGATCTAATGGATTGTCTAGTTTTCTAGGGGTTAACATAATAAACCTGGGATAGATAATGTGAACCTGAGAATGTACAAAAGTGCTTCTTTGGCAACTAAAGAACATCATTTGGCTCCCTAGTCATTTTTTTGGGGGTCTGGCGTCCTGTATGTGCACAGAAAGCGATGACTCCAGGCAAAGTTTCCCTTCAAGTAAATTCCCCCGGGGTTGTGTTTTCAGAGAAGTCTGCAGTCCGCTGTCTTTATTCCCTCACCTTGTTTTCTTTACTGATATAGTCCAGCTGGAGGCACCACGGATGGGTCCAGATTCTGCTGAGCATCTGGAAATCCTGGAAGAGTTTGGTCCCAGCGCGGCCTCTTCCACTCTCCAAGGCAGAACCGACACCTGTTCAGAGAGAGACGTTTAGCGCTCGCCGCTGGCACGGTTTCTAGCCCAGCGTGCCAGAGCACGCACGGCGCACCGCAGCGCCCTAAATCCTGAATTCAGATTAGCCCAGAGGATTAAGTGAGCAGGTAAACAAGCTCTTAGGACTGTGAGTGGCTCACGTTGCCCGTTTTCACACTGACACTTAGAGAAGCAAAGCAACAAAATCCTCCACTCAAAGACCAAAAGAAAAAAAAAGACATGCCTTTGCAAGAAAGGCTTTGCTACAAACATCTTAAAACTGCTGTGCGCCATTTCTGCAATTCACCAAGCGGATTTGCCAAACAAATGACTGGCTATGTTTAAAAAGAAACACTAGCATACTGAATATAGCACAGTGCCTGAACCCTGTCTACTAGAGATAGGCACGAGTACCTGAGTGACACTGATAATCCATCATAACAGCGATGATTGCGTGACTGGAATCACTTTGATAAGGAAAACAGTGAAGCGCAAGATGTGCAGTGCCAATCTGTCATACACATAACATTATAATGAGAACACTATGGTCACAACATTGTAAATAAATTAGTTGTGCTTCAGTTGTCAGTGTCCCCCTGAAATCAAAACTTACATTTTTTTTTTTTACTGTATGATTATGTAAGTCTTAAGTTTATCTATAAGCTAGTGTTCCAGAACAGTGACAAAATTCATATTTAGACAATATATGCATTCAAAATGGACAGTCTCTCTACCACCAATATGGATAAATACAGATCAGATTTGCACTTCAGCTTCTCATCAGATTGTTTGTCCAATCAAATGCTCTCTAGAATCTGAAGCATCCCAGCCCTTACACTATAAAAGACACTAAAGCTGCGGCTGAAATCGGTCACTTGTTCACACATTTATTATGTTATGTATAGCGACTAGTACATATTACACTATATTTCACTATATACTTTCACTCAGGGCCTAAAACTAACTTTTTGCCACACCTGCTAATGGCCGGTGACATGATAAAATTTACCGGCCAAAAATATTTTTTACCGGCCATGAAACTCTTTTTGCAAAAACAGGCAGCTATTACTACTACAATAACTAAACATATTTACAGTGTTTTTAATTTATCCTGCTGGTGCATTTTCCCTCAGTTTTACCTATTAATTATAGCCATTCAACATTACAGTTTAATTGAAAGCCATTATTTTTAACATTTAATAGGCTCTGAAATATATAACTTTTAATTTAAGTAAATTTTTAAGTGATTTTAAAACAATCTTCACATAAACTATATTATATATGCAGAAACTATACATATTAATCTTTATTCAAGCTAAAAAATTTAATCAGTGACTACAACAGTCCAAGGATTTCTCTTTTTATTTTGTTCTTTGATATACATCAATGACAGACTTCAGCAGGTTTCACTTTAAAATCAGCGCCGTCTCTTTAAAGCCTGAAGCACGTGACGCAGATCTGACACACATCCGATTTTCTCCCAACTCTTTACGGTCATTTAAGACTTTATAACTCATTTAAGACTACGTTTACAAGGTAACTCGCCAAAACTGCGCATTTTGACATAATTGTGTGTGTGTTTTCGTCCGTTGAAGCACTACTGGTGAGCTGTCTGAAGCGGCTCAGAATACAGCCGAACGCGCATCCTTTCAAACTATACTTCACTGACTGCACCGTTTAGGCGGCGTAACCCTAGGTAGCCTGTGTGTCGCCGCATTCTCGGGTTATGAAGAATAAAGAAGGGAAAAGTTAAAGCAGCAAAATCTTCTCAGGTAAAAGTTATTAGAACCGTGTCTAGGGACAAGCTGGCCATCACACTGCTCTGACCTTATCAGTCCGTTTGGATCATATTATTTGATTCGCTCTTCTCGCTTATGACAGAACAGCTAATCACGATGATCTGGTCTTCGGAAAAGATAATTTCATTCGCTTATGTCAGAAACAGCGAATCTCTTTCAAAACTGGCTGTTGATTTCACATCATTGCATTGTTATAATTCGTAAAAGTTGTACCCGCCAACGGGCGACTACCACTGTTACATGGACTCGCCAACGCTGATTTTTACTCGCATTTGGCGCTTGGCGAGTGTTAATTTTAGGCCCTGCTTTCACTATATATTTTGCACTTTCCATTGGGGTGAATAAAGTCTAATTTCTTTGTATGGAGGGACAGAAATCTCCCGAAGTATCCCTGTTAGCATGGAGGGGGAAAAAGCAGTAAAGCAGCTGCAATTGTAATCAGTTAAAGAGCTAATTCAACCAAAAATTAAAATTCTGTCATTGTTTACTCAAACTCATGTCAGTCCAAACCTATATGGCTTTGGTTAATCTTCACAACACAAATCAAGATATTTTTTATGAAACCTCCATTGAAAGTCCAGGTAACCAAAACGTAGAACATCCAAAAAGGTTGTAAAAGCTTTGTAAAATAAATGCATATGATTTGAGCGGTTTAATGCATGTATTGCGAAGAGCTTAATATGATAAACCGATTTAATATAGGCTTTTATACACACAAAGATACAGCACATCACATGTTTGTGTATGTACCAAATGTGAAGTGCTCTATGTATGTTTGTCAATCATTATGAATAGATTAAATGTAGGCTTTTATTTAAATCATATAAAGCGATTGTGTCTCTTTTCATTTGGATTAGGATGGATTTATGACCATTTTGGATCTTTAAACTTTTGGTTACTGGACTTTGTATGGAGGGACAGAAATCTCCCGAGATTTCATTTTAAATATCTTCATTTGTATTTCAAAGAAAGTCTTCTGGACTATCTTTGGACGGTGAGTAGATGACAGAATTTTCATGTTGGGTGAACTCTCCCTTTAAATGATCTAATGGATTGTCTAGTTTTCTAGGGGTTAACATAATAAACCTGGGATAGATAATGTGAACCTGAGAATGTACAAAAGTGCTTCTTTGGCAACTAAAGAACATCATTTGGCTCCCTAGTCATTTTTTTGGGGTCTGGCGTCCTGTATGTGCACAGAAAGCGATGACTCCAGGCAAAGTTTCCCCTCAAGTAAATTCCCCCGGGGTTGTGTTTTCAGAGAAGTCTGCAGTCCGCTGTCTTTATTCTTTATACACTTTATATACTTTCCATTGGGGTGAATAAAGTCTAATTTCGCACCAGCACCACAGTAGTGTGCTCCGGTCCAAAGACACAATATTGCAGAGTGGATTATATGCGAGAGCCAGCACGAACCACAAAATGTATCCAACCCATTTAAATTCTACACAGAATTCTGTATTTTAAAGCGCAATGGAGGAGATCAAACACTGCAAATGGTTAGAGTTCCTCCGCATTATAAACGGCAATGATGAGGAGAAGAGACGACCCAGTGCCATGTACTAGCACATATTACACTTTTTCAAACTGTATTCCTGAAAATGATCACTTTTTTCTAGTAGTAACAGTTCTATATTAAATCTAAAGGGGGAATCTATTAGACTTATTGTTTTATAAAACTTTGGCTGTGCTGCTTTGCTGGGCTGCAACATGAACTAAACACTACTGGCATTAATAATGTGGTACGTTTCAAGGCACTTCAGTGGGTGTATAAGTGCGTTGTTACGCGAAGAGAGTATCTACAACGGGAGGTAAACATTTTGACTAGCATGGTCAAGTTCACTTGTGCATTTGCATCCTTTTGTGCAGATGTAAGTTGTAATATTATGCTTATGTCTTGTACCTGATTGATATCACAAAGGAGGCGTTTGGTTAAGTTAATTAACCGGCTTTAGTTTACAGTTGTTCAATCGCTCTTCAGATTCAGCTCAAGCATCGGTCACACTACACTTTACATTCTATTGACTTCCATTTATACTCATGTGAATGCGTGAGACAGGAAATGCAAGCTTATACAAATTTTGCTGCATTCTGCAAAATTCAAGGTAGGTGTACTCTAACCTGCGAATTCGTAACATGTGAAGACTTGTGACCAATAATAGATTAATAGGGCCTTTCGCACCGCTTTAGTTCCAGAACTAAATGTACAGTACTAAAGTACTGGGACGATTTTGTGCGAACTATTTCCCAGTACCATTTAAAGGGTTGCATTCGCACCGAGAGTGTGTACTAAGAAGTGACGTAAGCCGGTCGACAGCGTCGTCATTTGTGCGTGGCGTCCAACAACATTAACAAAGAACAACATTAACAACAGGAGGATGGAGGACGCGGTGATCGGAGCTGTGTTTTTGTTGTGTCTCGCAGGTTTCACAATAATGGACATGGAAAGTCGACGTATACGTAAAGCAATTGAAAGAACGGAAAGGAGGACTAAGAATCCCCCCCCGGAACTTGACAGGGCACATCGCGCTCTGATCGCTAAGCCGAGGCAGGGAGAGAGGCCGAGAGCTGTAATAGTTCGTTTTCATCAGTATCAGATCAAGGAGGCGGTGATACGAGAGTCCCGTAAGAGAAGAGGATCTTTGCAGTACCATGGAAAACCGATCGCCATCTACGATGACTACAGTCCGGAAGTTCTGGAGCAGCGCGCTCAATATTGTGGGGTAATGGCAGAGCTTTACAATCTGGGATTCAAGCCATCTCTTCTTTTCCCCGCAAGGCTGAGGATCTGGACTAAGGAAGGTGAGCTAAAGCTGCTGGCATCGGTGGATGAGGCTAAGACATTTTTGACGGCTCACCGTAACGCCTCTTAAAACGCAACGATGTCTCTTTAGTACACTTGAATGGTGGACCTTGACTGTACTTACTATGTAACATCACATGAATGGTTTACTATTCATTTGTAGTATGTTACATCATGCGGGTATTTTTTGCGTTTCTAAAGACTGTTCCGTGCTGTTGCATTTGATCTGATTTCACTTGTTGAATTACATTTGTGTTATAATATTTTTCAAAACAGAGGTTGCCTTCTTGCAAGAAACCCATTTACGCAGTATGGATCAAAATCTTCTCAATCGTGGTTGGGAAGGGCAGATTTTTCATTCTTCTTTCCAGGCAAGGGCAAGAGGTGTGGCTATTCTGATTAATAAAAATATACCCTTTATACCAAATGATATTGTATCAGATAAGAATGGGCGCTATATAATTGTTGTAGGCACATTATGCGATAAGGTTTTAACTTTAGCTAATTTTTATGCCCCTAATTTCGATGATGTCAGTTTTTTCAAACATACTCTCTCTCTTATTCCCGACCTGAACTCCCATTCTCTTATTCTTGGGGGAGACTTTAATTGTTGTTTTGACCCGGTGATGGACCGTTCATCATCTAAGCCAAGCATTGCAAGCAAATCCTCTATTTATCTAAATAATTTTTTTTCTGAATATGGTCTATTTGATGTATGGCGGCTTCTGTACCCAAAAAAGAGAAAATATTCTTTTTTCTCAAACGTCCATCACTCTTACTCTCAGATTGATTATTTTGTTCTGGACAACAGTTTAATTCCTAGAGTTCGTTCTTGCGCATATAAAAGTATTATTATATCGGACCATGCTCCTCTTATTCTTGATATGACCTTTCT